CCATCAATAATTTAAATAAGTGAGGAAAGATAAGGCTGGGCCCCTAGGATTTGACTGTACTTGCCTTTTAATGCCAACCTGGCAGTTTCTGAAGAATCTGTAACAACTGTGAAAAGATAAATTAAACCATTTGACTGGATATACTGCATTTGGTTTGAATTGACTGAATTGAATTATGTCTTTTTAAAAGCATACCCTTCAGGAGATGGCCTCTGGAGTAAATTCATTGGGGAGAACGGGTTTGATAGATTCGTGGAGGTGGTGGTGATTGGCTGTCCTGACTGGCTAGTTGGATTGCTGCTTTTTGTAAAGAAAAAAAAAGTAGGTGAGGGAGGTGGTTAGGGGCAGATGTGTGTAATGCCTAATTAGATTCTCTATTTTTGTATACAAACACACACATACCACACTGTGGCTAACTATACCTGGAAGTAAAAATCCTCGCTCATTCTGGGGCTCCTCATCGAAATGATACATTTCTGAAAGAAGAATATTGTAACTATTAAACCACTACCATTGCCTGGCGGTTTGTGCTATTTAGCAGTATCTCTAAAATAAAATTGACTTGATATTTAATTTCTGTGTATTTCCTGTAGACACAGAGGCACATCAATCTGACTTGGGCTTGTGTGAAGATTGTATTAAGATTAACATTAAAAAGGTTATTTTTGGAGCCTAATACATTTCATAATTAATTAGTTAAATTGGAAAATCCAATATACCAGTATTGGTATTAGTGATACTGGCCTTCATGTACCAAGAAGATGCCATTAAACAATTATTAAAAATATCCTGAAAGTTCTTTCAACATTAACTTGGTTATTACCTGTGACATTATTAGATTATAAAATGTATTTATAAACAATTATCTTGAGCAATTATAACAAAATTAGCCCAATATATTAACACATACACTGATCAAACATGTACTTTTGCTTTTAGATAAACAAAACGGTCATGTTTGTATGACATGACACAACCGGCTTTGTTGCTGTCAGATACTGATCTGCCTCGGAGGCTTTCAGACTGTCCATTGCTCAATTGCACGAAGTATGAGCAAATCTCGCTGTACGTAATGCTGGGCCACGATGTCATGTTATCCTCCCAGTTCTGCACTGGATTGGGGTGCGGGATAGTAACGCCATCTCAGTCAAATACGTAGATCCGTGTTCCCAAACTAGCATCGACATCACTGTTTACACCGGCAGACGCTGGGAACAACACCGGCAGAAGTGAAATGCATTTCTGTAGAGGAATGGCGCCCACGAAACGGCTCGTAAACTTGTCTATAAAACGACTGTTATAATTTCTGAAAACAAACAGGAGTTACAAAACTGTATCCCACGCATATGCAGCCCTGCTCGAGGATTTTTATTATTTTGGATTTGTATTACAACGAGATGGTTAGCTTTTCCAGTTACAACTCGAGACAGTTCTGCATTGAATAATGAGGTACGTCATGTATTTTGTGTAATTCTGGCCCGCTGCGGTCACTTCTGTGGGGTAACGTTAACGTTAGCGCTCAAACATGCACGACATGACTTCCGTGCCCTTGGTGGTGGCTACGTAGTGCTAATCAGCCGTGATCTCTCAAAGGTTTGAGCGCACGGCGCCGCCAACAGGCTAGCTTGATGGACGTTACCGTTAGCGCTAGATGGAGCACACTGTTATTATGGTGTTTTCCGGCGGGCAGAAGAAATAGCGGTGACTGTAAAATAGATTTCACGACACTATTAGCAATGGGTACCGAGTGACGTGTATTTTGAGCCAGCTATAAAAATAGGCTGGACTCTGAGGTTTTGCTAACTGTAAAGAGAACCACAAAGTAGGCTAGCCTGCTTTTGGAAGATTTGAACACATTAGTAAAACAAAAATCTATTTCATGACTAACGTTAGCTGCAGCACTGCGTTGGTTACTACACTAATCATTATACTACAACGATCAGCCTAACGGTATTTGATTCATTCATATCGAACATTAAGCAAGCTTACCTGTAGCTACGCTCGTGCCAAGGGTCCAGAAATGAGCTTGTCTCGTGCAGTACGTTGGTTTACCACCCGTTGATCTCCCGGTCAACCAAAATTCAATGGATTTCAATCATATTTCCCGGTCAACTATATATCGATGCATTATCAACTATGTTTCAACACATTCGGGGATTGCACTTCCAATCGTAAAGATAACTAGATCAATGTTGTTCCAATATTATCATGAAAACATCAGGTTTTCATCGATATGGTAATGGTGATTCAACGTTTATTTTGCATTGAAATTTCAATATCAACCATAATGATGATTTAGATGGAAAAACAATGTTTATTCAATGTTGGATTGCTGTCTGGATAGTGTCTGTGGAATCGGCGTACGTCATAGGGTAAGTACGTGTACGTGAGCGTGCATGTGCGCCTGTGTGAGTCATACAACTTCAAAGCACGTATCCATGACAACCGGAGTGTGCGTCATACAACTTCAAAGACGTTAGCATTTAAACGTTCCATTGTGTGCTATTCGAATCACTTCTCAGAGGGCTTCGAACAAGGTGCATTGGAAATACTGCATGGACGTTAATAACCAGAATATTGCAGGAAAATAATTAATTTGATGCACCGCTGAAGGATATATTATTAACAAGACGTAAGTGGACATAACTGACGATTTACAGTGCGGTTTGTACCTATATATACTGTGATGTCACGAGAGGCGCCGCCGCTCTCTCCGGGGTAGTTCAAATAGTGCGAGGACACCGGGTTCAAAATGTAAACAAAAGGTTTTAATTTCCGTCCTTCAGGTTCAACAGAAAACAGTCAAAAACAGAGGGTAACTCAGGCTTCGGTCAATCTTTGCCGGTAAAACTTAACGGAAATCCACTTCTTTAAGGAAAACAACACCGTCCTCCTGGTCTCTCCTGCCTCCTCGAATCCTTATGGCTTGGTCTGCTCTTCTCAGCTCGTCTCTCCCCCAACGGTGTGTCTTCCACCTTTATGAAGGCCTCCTGGTCGTCACACCCTGATGGGTCTCAGGTGTGAGGGGAATGCTCTGAGTTTCGGGGCACCAGCAGATGGAGCCATAGTAGTTACAGCCATCGCCGGTGAACGTATCTCCCTTCCAAGACCAAGCCTCTCGTGACATCACAATACATTTTTTAGAAGTTCTCTCCCCACAGTTTGAGAACATCTTGTCCACTGGATTTTGCATTGAGATAAGATGGAAAACATGAAAGAAGACACCGTTTCAACACAAAGCAGTGAACGAGATAAAATTGAATCTGACATGGCCGAAGCACTGGTTTCCGACGGTCTAGATATGGCCGTTGACGGGATTTGTGAGCTGAACCAGAAAATCGCTTTGTGGAAGGCTGGTGAAGCCTCCAGACTGAATCACAATTCCTTCCCCACCATTGAGGACAATATTCAGCGATATTTGAGGAATTACTACAATTCAAGGATAATGTTCACGGAGGGGAGTGGAACACAATCACATGACGATCCATCATCCCCTGACCGCCCGAGTACGTCTTACGCTGAAGAACCGAAGTATGATTCTGACATTTCAAAGACGATCGATGGGTATTTTGAAATAGCCGCGAAGAGCTCAGTTGACGAAAATAGGGCCCATCCACTCACTACAATCAGTTCACCATGTGATTCTGTTCAAGCCCACAAGGGAAAATCTGGAGGAAGACCGAAGAGAATTTTTAAGGCAATGAAAAAGGCCTTTGGGTTAAATAGATATGAGAAATGCCAGCACGTGGAGAGTGAAAGCGTCCCTGTGCATAGAGACTTGATTCTTTCCCCAATCTTGTCCAGCGGGTCCGAGCCAGCAAAGTATGATAAAGAGAAGTCAGAACAGAGTGACGCACAACGGTCTCAAGAAACAGCAGAACTGGACAACTCTCCTGGAGAAGCGCTGGTTTCCGACGCTCTAGATATGGCCGTTGGCGGGATTTGTGAGCTGAACCAGAAAATCTCTTTGTGGAAGGCTGGTGAAGCCTCCAGACTGAATCATGATTCCTTCCCCACCATTGAGGACAATATTAAGCAATATTTAAGGGATTACTACAATTCAAGGATAATGTTCGCGGAGGGGAGTGGAACACAATCACAAGACGATCCATCATCCCCTGACCGCCCGAGCACGTCATAGGCTGAAGAACCGAAGTATGATTCTGACATTTCAAAGACGGTCGATGGGTATTTTGAAATAGCCAAACTAGCATCGACATCGCTGTTTACACCGGCAGACGCTGGGAACAACACCGGCAGAAATGAAATGCATTTCTGTAGAGGAATGGCGCCCACGAAACGGCTCGTAAACTTGTCTATAAAACGACTGTTATAATTTCTGAAAACAAACAGGAGTTACAAAACTGTATCCCACGCATATGCAGCCCTGCTCGAGGATTTTTTATATTTTGGATTTGTATTACGACGAGATGGTTGGCTTTTCCAGTTACAACTCGAGACAGTTCTGCATTGAATAATAAGGTACGTCATGTATTTTGTGTAATTCTGGCCCGCCGCGGTCACTTCTGTGGGTAACGTTAACGTTAGCGCTCAAACATGCACGACATGACTTCCGTGCCATTGGTGGTGGCTACGTAGTGCTAATCAGCCGTGATCTCTCAAAGGTTTGAGCGCACGGCGCCGCCAACAGGCTAGCTTGATGGACGTTACCGTTAGCGCTAGATGGAGCACATTGTTATTATGGTGTTTTCCGGCGGGCAGAAGAAATAGCGGTGACTGTAAAATAGATTTCCTGTAGACAGAGGCACATCAATCTGACTTGGGCTTGTGTGAAGATTGTATTAAGATTAACATTAAAAAGGTTATTTTTGGAGCCTAATACATTTCATAATTAATTAGTTAAATTGGAAAATCCAATATACCAGTATTGGTATTAGTGATACTGGCCTTCATGTACCAAGAAGATGCCATTAAACAATTATTAAAAATATCCTGAAAATTCTTTCAACATTAACTTGGTTATTACCTGTGACATTATTAGATTATAAAATGTATTTATAAACAATTATCTTGAGCAATTATAACAAAATTAGCCCAATATATTAACACATACACTGATCAAACATGTACTTTTGCTTTTAGATAAACAAAACGGTCATGTTTGTATGACATGACACAACCGGCTTTGTTGCTGTCAGATACTGATCTGCCTCGGAGGCTTTCAGACTGTCCATTGCTCAATTGCACGAAGCATGAGCAAATCTCGCTGTACGTAATGCTGGGCCACAATGTCATGTTATCCTCCCAGTTCTGCACTGGATTGGGGTGCGGGATAGTAACGCCATCTCAGTCAAATACGTAGATCCGTGTTCCCAAACTAGCATCGACATCACTGTTTACACCGGCAGACGCTGGGAACAACACCGGCAGAAGTGAAATGCATTTCTGTAGAGGAATGGCGCCCACGAAACGGCTCGTAAACTTGTCTATAAAACGACTGTTATAATTTCTGAAAACAAACAGGAGTTACAAAACTGTATCCCACGCATATGCAGCCCTGCTCGAGGATTTTTATTATTTTGGATTTGTATTACAACGAGATGGTTAGCTTTTCCAGTTACAACTCGAGACAGTTCTGCATTGAATAATGAGGTACGTCATGTATTTTGTGTAATTCTGGCCCGCTGCGGTCACTTCTGTGGGGTAACGTTAACGTTAGCGCTCAAACATGCACGACATGACTTCCGTGCCCTTGGTGGTGGCTACGTAGTGCTAATCAGCCGTGATCTCTCAAAGGTTTGAGCGCACGGCGCCGCCAACAGGCTAGCTTGATGGACGTTACCGTTAGCGCTAGATGGAGCACACTGTTATTATGGTGTTTTCCGGCGGGCAGAAGAAATAGCGGTGACTGTAAAATAGATTTCACGACACTATTAGCAATGGGTACCGAGTGACGTGTATTTTGAGCCAGCTATAAAAATAGGCTGGACTCTGAGGTTTTGCTAACTGTAAAGAGAACCACAAAGTAGGCTAGCCTGCTTTTGGAAGATTTGAACACATTAGTAAAACAAAAATCTATTTCATGACTAACGTTAGCTGCAGCACTGCGTTGGTTACTACACTAATCATTATACTACAACGATCAGCCTAACGGTATTTGATTCATTCATATCGAACATTAAGCAAGCTTACCTGTAGCTACGCTTGTGCCAAGGGTCCAGAAATGAGCTTGTCTCGTGCAGTACGTTGGTTTACCACCCGTTGATCTCCCGGTCAACCAAAATTCAATGGATTTCAATCATATTTCCCGGTCAACTATATATCGATGCATTATCAACTATGTTTCAACACATTCGGGGATTGCACTTCCAATCGTAAAGATAACTAGATCAATGTTGTTCCAATATTATCATGAAAACATCAGGTTTTCATCGATATGGTAATGGTGATTCAACGTTTATTTTGCATTGAAATTTCAATATCAACCATAATGATGATTTAGATGGAAAAACAATGTTTATTCAATGTTGGATTGCTGTCTGGATAGTGTCTGTGGAATCGGCGTACGTCATAGGGTAAGTGTGTACGTGAGCGTGCATGTGCGCCTGTGTGCGTCATACAACTTGAAAGCACGTATCCATGACAACCGGAGTGTGCGTCATACAACTTCAAAGACGTTAGCATTTAAACGTTCCATTGTGTGCTATTCGAATCACTTCTCAGAGGGCTTCGAACAAGGTGCATTGGAAATACTGCATGGACGTTAATAACCAGAATATTGCAGGAAAATAATTAATTTGATGCACCGCTGAAGGATATATTATTAACAAGACGTAAGTGGACATAACGGACGATTTACAGTGCGGTTTGTACCTATATATACATTTTTTAGAAGTTCTCTCCCCACAGTTTGAGAACATCTGGTCCACTGGATTTTGCATTGAGATAAGATGGAAAACATGAAAGAAGACACCGTTTCAACACAAAGCAGTGAACGAGATAGAATTGAATCTGACATGGCCGAAGCGTTGGTTTCCGACGCTCTAGATATGTCCGTTGACGGGATTTGTGAGCTGAACCAGAAAATCGCTTTGTGGAAGGCTGGTGAAGCCTCCAGACTGAATCACAATTCCATCCCCACCATTGAGGACAATATTCAGCAATATTTGAGGAATTACTACAATTCAAGGATAATGTTCACGGAGGGGAGTGGAACACAATCACAAGACGGTCCATCATCCCCTGACCGCCCGAGCACGTCATACGCTGAAGAACCGAAGTATGATTCTGACATTTCAAAGACAATCGATGGGTATTTTGAAATAGCCGCGAAGAGCTCAGTTGACGAAAATAGGGCCCATCCACTCACTACAATCAGTTCACCATGTGATTCTGTTCAAGCCCACAAGGGAAAATCTGGAGGAAGACCGAAGAGAATTTTTAAGGCAATGAAAAAGGCCTTTGGGTTAAATAGATATGAGAAATGCCAGCACGTGGAGAGTAAAAGCGTCCCTGTGCATAGATACTTGATTCTTTCCCCAATCTTGTCCAGCGGGTCCGAGCCAGCAAAGTATGATGCAGAGAAGTCAGAACAGAGTGACGCACAACGGTCTCAAGAAACAGCAGAACTGGACAACTCTCCTGGAGAACTGGACTCCGACCTTCTTAAAATGGAGAAGGAAGTCGGGGTCACTCGTCCCAAGACACCGCTACAGGTGAAAACAGATAAGAAACGACCTCCATCTTCAACCCAAAGATTCTTCTTGGTGGAGGAGCAGGTCAAGGTCACTCAGCCCGAGACACCAATACAAGTGAAAACAGATAAGAAACCTTCAATTCTAAAAAGGTTCTGGAGATTCTTAACATGTTCAAATAAGTAAGTACACACCAGTGAGATTTCACTCACTCACACACACCAGTGAGATTTCACTCACTCACACACACCATTGAGATTTCACTCACTCACACACACCAGTGAGATTTTACTCACACACACCAGTTCAGAACACTACGCCTGCAGAAGGATCAGGCATTTAGGAGCGGGGACAAAGACAAATACAAGTTTAGCAACGCGGTGAGAGATGCTAAACGACTGTACTCTGAGAAACTCCAACAACAGTTCTCAGCATGTGACTCTGCTTCGGTTTGGAGAGGCCTCAAACACCTCACTAACTACAAGCCAAAAAAACCCCACTCCATGAATGACCTCCGCCTGGCAGACGAGCTGGATGAGTTCTACTGCAGATTCGAAAGACAATGTCCTGATCCCATCCCCCACAGCTCCAGCAACCTGCTGCAGTCCCCCACCCCTCCCTCCCCCAGCCCATCAGGTGCTCACGCCTCTTCATCTATATCTCCTTCCCCTCCCCCACCAGCAACGACCCTCTCTATTCTGGAGAGAGACGTTAACCGGCTCTTTAAAAGACAAAATCCCCATAAGGCAGCCGGTCCGGACTCCGTCTCCCCTCACACCCTGAAGCATTGTGCTGACCAGCTGTCTCCGGTGTTCACTGACATCTTCAACACCTCCCTGGAGACCTGCCACGTACCAGCCTGCTTCAAGGCCTCCACCATCATCCCTGTTCCCAAGAAGCCCAGGATCACAGGACTCAATGACAGGCCCTGACATCTGTAGTCATGAAGTCTTTTGAACGGCTAGTCCTGACCCACCTGAAGTCCCTCACCGACCCCCTCCTGGACCCCCTGCAGTTCGCCTACAGAGCCAACAGGTCTGTGGACGATGCTGTCAATATGTTCCTCCACTACATCCTCCAGCATCTGGACTCCCCAGGAACCTACGCCAGGATCCTGTTTGTGGACTTCAGCTCTGCCTTCAACACCATCATCCCGTCTCTGCTGCAGGACAAACTCTCCCAGCTGCACGTGCCCGCACTGCATGAAAAGTGGGATTTTCGGCAGTATGCGGCACTGTAAATTGTGGTGGAATTTCAGGTTTGCGGCAATTTGCGGGCAACGCTGAAAACTGCCGTAAATTGTCAGAAATTGATGTGGGCCTCCCTTGGCAGTTGTCCCCCCATGACCCCCCTCCTCCTAATTCTAGGGGAGGCTGTAATGTAAATGAAAATGCTGTGAGCTATACAAATGCAAATCAGGGTCGCAGAGGGAGTTTTAGCCCAGGTGACATTTTTTTAAAAGGTAAGAAAATCTCTGGTACAAATAGATCAGGCTCAGTAGCCTAATTATAGATTCTTACATTTTAGCTTGAATTGATTTATTTAATTCAAATATGCTAGATTACTGTGTACGCCATTAGCAATGGCAAATGTCATGTAAAAAAGATACACAAAATAACTTCTTTAAAAAATTAGTTTTAATCAAGGTAAAATGAGCATTCCATGCAAACAACATTTGAATCAGCATGAGGGGTCTGCAGAGATCACAGTCTCCTAGAGCTCAACTACAGTGCATAGTGGCAGGACTACAGTGACCTTTTCTTTGGTCTTACTTAAAAGCACAGAGAATGTATTAACCACACACATGTTTAAATGCCGTACCCTTTGACACAACATTAACAACTATAAACTGCTTTATAATGGCTGGTTGTAGTTCTGCTAGAGGGTCAAGGACGGGTTCCTCAAAACTGTTAGTGTTTCCACACCACTTAGCATAAACATATGCTGACCTTTATGCTCTGCATCTATCGATTGAGTAAGTTACATTCATATATGTTACCCGTTTACATGTCATGGCAAAACATTCAACCTCAGTGACACAAGGGTACATCTGATGATACATTGTCAACATTGCATGTCTGTCAGACTCATCCAAGATGTCTGGTGGAATGGAGAAAGAGGCACCACTGTACAGATTTCTAGGGAAAGTCGTTCTGCTGACACCAAAACACTGCTTTACATAAAGCATATCAGCTGTTTTAAAGTCCCAACCATTTATCTTCCTAAAATACAACTCCAACAACAAACTGCTGATATCAACGAGCGGTTCGCTCCACTGGAGCGTTCGGGACTCTCCAGGTTTCTGTCCATAGAGAGGATGGCGGCTCTGGAGGAACTGACTCAAAGAAGAGGAGACAGGCGCACAATCCCAAGATAGCGGTAAGAATACGTTCGATGACTGCAAGCTAAGCTAAAAGTAGCATATCCTAAAACGAAAGCTAAGAGTAGCCTACAAGCCTACTTGTAGTAGCCTTACAAGTGAGCAGAAACAGCTTTATTAAAGTGTGTTTTCTTTGCCGTGTCGTTTACAGGAAGCCGTGCGCCGTCTTCACAACTCCGAGACGAATTACAGGCGCTACGAACCGGAGCAAGGGTAAGATTTAAAGAATATGCTTTCATTCTGCGGTATAAGGAAATATATACGTATAGATACCGATCATAACTGTACATTTTGTTTTCACAGACTAATCTCGCCTCATAATGAGGCGGTGACCTCGTATTTGCTCCGGGAAAAGTCCAGATTTAGACGACGTCATTGTGTGTAAGTGACACTGTTTCTCCTTCCTTGTTAACTGTTACTGTGACCTGCGTTTGATTTTTTTTGTATTCATACCACACTCATTTAATTGTTTTCCAGCCGCCTGTAAGACGTATTTTGAGACGTACGCAGGAGCTTCAGGTTCAGCCGGAACACTCATTGCTGGCGGAAGCTGCGAAGGATTCAGAGTCGAGCTAGAAGAAAGAGGGTCAGAGTTTATTTGCTGACTTGTTTCAAGTGCATTGATCGATGTGTTGTGTCCATACGCATCGCATCGCACAGTACTGATTCATTGTTGTTTTTACAGCTGCTGGAATCGAGACAAAGTGTGCTGGCTGATGACGAGGTGAAACTCTGGAAATCCGCCACCGTAGAGCTCACGTCGGACGGAGAGGATGGCGTTGTTGGCGGGGTCTCGGGGTGGATTGTACGGTCGCCACGCACACGAGGCGCCTGCACAACAGACCTGCCTCGGAAAACACGCCGCCAGTGACGGTCTACAACCCCGAGGAGGCAAACGGACAGTTTACTGAGCTGTAGTTTTTAAACCGCCGTTACCCAAGTGTGGGCAGATCCTCACTTTGTATGTAGTTGTTGTTTGTGTGTTGTTAATAAAGCTCTTTCTTTGCATAAACATGTGGCATGTTCATTTTCTCTATAAATTCATTGATGTCCTGGTTGGTATCCTAATAATAGTGTAGTAGCCTACATAGGATAACCATGAAATGAATATACAGCATAATATGAATATATAAATATATATAAATAAAATAAGGCGGGTGACCAATAGCAACAGATCTGCCAACCAATCACGAGTGATTGAAAGTTGTGGTTTCATCCAATCATGAACAAGGAAACTCAAGCTTATTCTGCCCAGGTGTGGTTTTACTGCCAATCACGAGTGATTTTATTTGTTTGTAAGTTGTGGTTTCATCCAATAAGGAGTAAGGATATTCAAGCCCGCTCGGCTCGGCCACCCACGGTTTCGCTGCATTCATATGCTAATTCGGGCCATTCGTACCTCCGCCAGCTCTCCACCTACGTCATGGTTCGTTTCCGACAATTTGTGGCACAGACAAACGCGACGTGCGCGGGTTGCAAATTGTCGGAAATTAGGGAGATTTCCGGGCGTTTACGGGGTAGAAAATCTCACTTTTCATGCAGTGCCGACTCCACCTGCAAATGGATCACAGACTTCCTGTCTGACAGGAAGCAGCATGTGAAGCTGGGGAAACATGTCTCAGCCTCTTGGACCATCAGCACCGGTTCCCCTCAAGGCTGCGTTCCTTCCCCTCTGCTCTTCTCCCTGTAGTGTACACCAACAACTGCACCTCCAGTCACAGTCCGTCAAGCTCCTGAAGTTTGCGGATGACACCACCATCATTGGACTGATCTCTGGTGGGGAAGAGTCCGCCTACAGGTGGGAGTCTGACCATCTGGTGTCGTGGTGCAGCCACAACAACCTGGAGCTCAACGCTCTAAAGACAGTGGAGATGGTTGTGGATTTCCGGCGGAGCAGAGCCCCACCCTCCCCCATCACCCTGTGCGACTCCCCCGTCACTATTGTGGATTCCATCCGTTTCCTGGGCTCCATCATCACCCAGGACCTCAAGTGGGAGCTGAACATCAGCTCCATCACAAAGAAGGCTCAGCAGAGGTTGTTCTTCCTGAGGCAGTTGAAGAAATTCAACCTGCCAAAGACGATGATGATCCACTTCTACACGGCCATCATCGAGTCTATCCTCTACTCCTCCATCACCGTCTGGTACGCTGCAGCCACAGCCAAGGACAAGGGCAGGCTGCAGCGGGTCATCGGCTCTGATGAGAGGGTGATTGACTGCAATCTGCCGTCCCTGCAGGACTTGTTCGCTTCCAGGTCTCTGAAGTGAGCTAAAAAGATTGCGGCCGACCCCTCTCACCCCGGACATAAACTGCTTGTGCCCCTTCCATCTGGCAGGAGGCTGAGGTCCATCAGGACTAAGACCTCCCGCCACACCAACAGTTTCTTCCCGTCGGCAGTCGGGCTCATCAACAGAGCCGGTCCCCCACTGACTGACTATAACATTCTACCGGTCACTCCCCTTCACACTGCACACGTCACTTTAACTGTCATTGTTGGAATGCATTAACGATGCATTCCAAGTATTGTTCTTCGAATCTTTATTTCAACTTCTTCTATTTCTTCCGCGCCACCTTTCAACTCCTTCACACTTTCAGCTATTAAAACCGTTCAAATATTAAAATGTTCAGCTCCTTTCTGGCTTGAGGGCCATGACTTTTCAGCTTTCTACCTCTTATGCTTGAATTTATATAAATCAATAATCATTAATATTTTAACAAGGTGTGGTGGAGGGGCGTGGTTAGCTCAGCTGCAGGGGGGAGAGCGGGGGAGTGGTTCAGGGGACGGTGCTGGTAGGTGAGGAGTAACCAGGTGTAAATGATCTGCACTGATTGTCTCCTACATAAGCAGTGAGCAGGATCCAGGTCGGGGGAACGTGAGCCGAGCAGAGCGGAGTGGAGCCTGAGAGCAGAGCACGAGAGCTGAGCGGAGCCGGACAAAGCGAAACCGACCACGCACATAGAGCGACCTCATTCCTGCTCACTGCCTTCCCCTTTGGGACAATAAAGACTGGTTACCCTCATCCTGTGTCCGTGCGTCTTTACAAGAACCCGCCGGTGGTAGCGCTATCACGGCTACACAAGGTTTTCAAATGGAGTTTGTTTTCAAATCCTCCTAAACTTCAACTTTCAGATTTTTCAGCTTCGCAAATCTTTCAGCTACAGACACCATTTAAACTTTCAAATGTTGACACAAGTCTCAACTATTTTATGAAAAAAACTGCTTCTTGATATCTATTGTACTTTTTTCATAATCACTGATTATGTTTCACTAGTTCTTCGCTCCGTTTCTGACTTTTACATGAGTGTGTATTGCGTCTGCTAGAGTGGCGACCTCGAGGGCTAGAGTGTGGGGCATCGCAGGAATCTGGTTAAAAAAAGATGGAACTTCTGTCCTTACAGCCAAAGTATACCCTCTAGAGGCTTCATTTCTTCAGATTAATGAGGGCATGGTTGTGCTGATTGGATTAATGTGTTCATGGAATCCCAGAGTTCTTTAGTTTTAAATTAAAAACTGCTTAGTTTGAATAACAAACATTCTGTCTCCCACTACGAATATTACTCGTACTTCTAGTACTACAACTGATACTTCTACTACCATACTACTGGTATTTCTATCGCTATTAATACTACAACTACTACTAATGTTATTACAAAAACTACTATGGCTAATAGTATTACAGCTGTTTCTACTGCTGTTCATACTAAACCTACTATTACTGCTTATACTGCTAGTACTACTAATACCACAATTACAACTATAACTAATACTACTACTAATATTACTACAAACAATTTTAAACAAATTTAAGCTCCTGCAACTTGTGTTTTTAGAAAATCTATTGAAATTCAGCTTCCCCACTTCCTGTATTTTCAGCAGTTCTTTAAAATAATTTCTGCTTTTCTTATGCCTATTAACAGCAATGTTTTAATATCAGCAAATCTATTGAAATTCCTTTCAGCTTCTCCCATTTCTGTATTTTCAGCAATTTCAAATTAATTTCAGCTTTTCAGCAAATGTATTCAAATTCCCTTCAACTTTCTGTATTTTCAGCTATTTTTAAATATTCAGTGCAGTATTCAGCTTTTTGCATTCCAACGCATTTTCAGCAGGAAATGCCTTTTCTAGTTTAGCACTTTGTCGTCACTGTCACTTGTTCGCTAGTGCACTTTATGCTTAATATTTTTTAACTTTTAAAAATATTTTAAATGTTTAACTTATTCCCTTGTTTTATACTAACCCATAGCCTTATTCTACTAACCCATTGCATTAGCATTTCATCTTACTTTATGTTATTACTTGTGCACTGCTGTCTTGTTGTCTATTGTTACACTGTCTACTGTCACGCACCATCCGCCAAGACAAATTCTTTGTATGTTTGACATATTTTGGCAATATGTCCTGATCCTGATCCTGAGATTTCACTCATACACACACACCAGTGAGATTTCACTCACTCACACAGTGAGATTTCACTCACTCACACACACCAGTGAGATTTCACTAACATACACAGTAAGATTTCACTCACACACACAGTCAGATTTCACTAACATACACAGTGAGATTTCACTCACACACACTAGTGAGATGCGCACGAGTGTTTCATTAGTACGCGATTTTATTTTCTTTAATATTTGGACAACTTTGGCGGACCGGATTAAACGTTTGCTTTTCAAAGTTCTCTTTTAATGGCCTCTCCCTGTCAGTTTGTCCCTGTGACCCCCCCCCCCCCCCTCCCTCATTAACTAAATCAGTAAATCATCATCATCATTATTATTTTAAATATTAATCATATTACTGTAATCATAAACCGACATAACCCTCTCCTAAAGTCTCTGTGCTCTCCCTCCCCACAGGCTTTTGTGGATGGTGGTTCTATCTCATGGTGGTTGCCCCTCCAGTGGTCCTCCTCTGGCTCACTACTCACAATTACTTGAATCATTTGGTATTGGATGTATTATACATTGTTCATTCTGTACACATGGCATCCATTGTAGTCTGTCCATCCCGGGAGTGGGATCCCTCTTCTGACGTCGCTTTCGACGCAAGCATGCAAGGAGGTGTGAAAAGGCACGCAAGGGACACGCATGGCTAACGCAAGGGACACGCAAGGGGCACGCAAGGGACACGCATGGGGCACGCAAGGGACACGCAAGGGACACGCAAGGGGCACTTATGGGGCACGCAAGGGGCACGCAAGGGACACGCAAGGGACACGCAAGGGGCACTTATGGGGCACGCAAGGGACACGCAAGGGACACGCAAGGGGCACTTATGGGGCACGCAAGGGACACGCAAGGGACACGCAAGGGGCTCTTCGTCTGCGCCGCTCTGAAAAGGCAGAAGCATAAACTAGGCTTTAGGCTAGCCATCCAGAGCTATTTAGTGTTTGGACAATCAACCTAAAAAGCAACAGGAAACACCTGTCAGTCACATGTTGCAATACTTTTGCTCACTTGAAAAATGGGTGGGTTCAGACAAAGGGCGGTATGTCGTGACTTGACAGGAATAAAACCTGAAATTCTGAACTCTTGTCTCATACTCATCTTTTGATCTTAAACCCAAATGTCTTCAGTGAACAACAAAATGAAAGGAGTTTGCCTTACCGTTTCCAATACTTTTGAAGGGAGACTGTATACGCTGAATGCCAGAAACGCTGTATAGAGGCCCACCTCCACCAGCTAATGGAAATGTTGGTTTAAGAGCAGCGTGTAATGCCCCCCGATGATAAAGACACGCAAGCAGGCAATTTTAAGGCATTTTTGCTAATTCATCACCCTTCGGGTAGTCCGTTGTTACATGAAAACCTTCTCTCCATATTTTTTTTGGATCCAGACAGAGAACCAATCGGTGGCAGGGAGTTCACTAAACAAAATATCTTTTTTTCCGCTGCAGTCATCTTCGATTCTGTTTATACGTCCGTAGTAGGCAAACTTCGAAACGAAGCTATAAAAAATCAACTGCAAACCCAGTGGAAGTTTGGACCGATTCAGTTCATCTGGGAGTTCCAATCCTGAGCACATGTTGTTCCGAGCACGAGCATAAAATAAAGGTGTGAGGGCAGCAGGGTTTTTTTTTTTTAGATTGATTAGCGGCGGTTATTTGAGATTTAAAGGTTGCAGAGACAAAAGTATAGTAAGTGCAAGTCCCAGCGTGTGAAACAAAACACATCAGTAAAGTTCTCAGACCTGAGCGTTAATACCAAATTATTAACCGTAAAAGTGAAGTGTCCAAACCGTGCATTCCGCTTCCAGCTATCTTCAGCTAACGTTGCTCATTTAATATCTGTATCTTTCTGTTGAACCACGTTACCAGCGAGTTATTTCATCTTTTAATATATCATTTAATACTTTTATTATTTGTATTTTTAAAAAATGTGATTATGAAATGTAGCTGTCAGTATATGACTGTAAATTAACAGGGGCATTTGTTAAAGTGTGTTTTTACATAAGAGGTTAAGGTAAAGCACTGAATTTCCCTCACTGGGTGACTTCTTCTTTGATAGTCCGAACCCACACCCCAAAAAAAGAAATGGTGGGATTAATAATAATGACTTTAATCATAGACAGGTCTCTAGTGTGATGACACACATAGACATGATGGTGTAGGAGTTCAACATTAAATCAAACTGTTCTCTGGGGTTAATCTCACTCGGCCTTCACAGCAGGAAAGTGCTTTGCTTTGAATTGAACTTTGCCCTCGATTGTCACCCGGACTGATAATTATGTGTTCACTGAGCTACAGTGAAGATAATGTCACCCTCAGCCAACACAGATTACAGAAGAACATCAAGGTCTCCATCAGAGAGACACATGATTCAGTGAAGACCTGCCGGCTTAATTTATATATATATATATATATATATATATATATATATACATATATATATGTATATATATATACATATATCATATATATATCATATATATAGTATATATATAAATATATATTATACATATATATATTATATATATATATATTCACACACACATACAGAATGAAAACAAATCAAAACCCTGTACTCAGGCACAGTAGAGGCGTTCCGTAAACCGCTCCGTAAACTTCCTCACATGTTTACCACTGACGAGAGAGAACGGCATTATGGGCCGCCAGAGTAGGTGGAGCCTGTTACGTACGTTGGTAGAACAGCAGAAAATATGTCGTAATACAGTATCTACTGTAAAAAATTTTTTTTAAAAAAAGACAATTGTACGACTACATTCAGCGTACATTTTCAATTTTAGAGTCAAGCTTTTGAACGGAGTTTGGACGGAATTTACTTATATATCTATATAGATATATATACACAGTAGATATAGATTCATACACATATTTACATATAAGTTTTGTTTTGTTTTAAAACCTTTGGGTTTAAAGAATAAAGGTTTTTCTAAGTACTACGTTCTTTGGCTTCTTTTACATAAAGATGATTTCAGATGCTTTAAGAATAATTCTGAAACTGAAATGAATCCCGGTCTTGATAGACTCACTTCAGCATTCCAAGGCACATTTCAGCTGCATATTCGTAAACAAATTTGGATGAACGCATCTCTCATTCGCTGCCGTGACCTCCGTTGGGAGCCCCGAGGCTCTGGACGTGGTGGACGGCGTCTGCGATGCTGAAGAACGCGATCCTGTTTTCTCCTCCGCTGACGGGGCAGTACCCCCCCCTTTGCAGGGAGTCCAGCACGGAGGTGCTGCACTGAGCCAGGACCACAGTCACCCCGAGTTCCGCGTAATCTTTGCGGACCTCTTTCAGAGCGTTCACTCCGGCGGTGTCAAGGAACAACACGGCGCTGCAGTCGATCACCAGGCTGCGCAGGAGGCGGGGCTTATGGTCCAGCATCAAGGTGACGGTTCCCTCGGCCTCCACCTCGTCGTGCTTTTGACCCTCGCCGCCCGTCTCACCCGATTTCCCATTGGGGACCCCTCCCTCCTCCCGCTGCTGCTGCTTCTTCTTAAACTTCATCAGCTGGGTCTTCTCCTTCACGGGATCCAGCCCGACTCGCTTGTAGAGCGACTTCCTGAACATGCTCTGGTTGGCGTAGTAGATGGGTGCCTCGAATCTGAAAACGGCCACGTCGGGGTGCGTCCGGAGGCCGCGGTACGACGACGCGTCCTCGTAGTGCTCCCCGGTCGGAGCCCGGCCCAGCTCCAGGACCCGGGCCTGCTGCGTTCGCCCCAGGACGCAGAGGGCCGACACCAGGACGCCCACCAGCAGGCCCAGCTCCGTGTTGACCAGCGCCGAGGTCGCCATGGTGATCAGCCAGATGGAGGCGTCGACACGGTTGACGCGCCACATGGCGGGAACGTCGAGGAACTTCGCCAGAGCTCCGCGGAGGTTAACCAGGATGATGACGGCCAGCACGCATCTAGGCAGGAGAGGGCAAAGGTCAGGACTTCATGGAAGAGGAGGGAGGGCTGTAAGATGTTTAAATATAGACATACACTATATATGTACAGGGGTGCAAACTCATCAGGGATGAAAAAGGTGACAAAGATCCGAACCCCCTCGGGGAATATATATATATATATATATATTTTTTTTTTTTTGCATATGCTTCAATGTTATTCCAGTAAAACACAAATAAGCTGCGGCTATTTAGCTCGCTTTAGCTTAACACTTTTATTATACGTCATTTGTATCCATAGAATAGGTCATGTATTTCACGTATGTGTAGAAGCTATTTAGTCTTGCTGACCACAGTGAAAAAGCACATATGGAAGGCAAACCTAACCTCTGCCTCAATGAAGGGGGCGTGCAGGAGCCTGGAAAATGGACTTCCATTCGACTGACGTTATGAATAAATAATGGGAGACCAATGCCAGAGCTAAAAGGTTTGCTTCAAACGACGGGACATAAGATGACTCGATCGACTACTCACATTCAAAGACAAACTGCTTTGGAAATGTTTGGAACCTCAAGAATAGATTTCGCTTTGGACGAACAGAATAAATATTAGCAAGAGGGAGGGAGGGGGCTTCTCAGCCCTCATTCGCTAACATTACATTGATATTAGAGCGTTGATTTCCCATTATTTATTTTAGGATTTAATGTGAAGCTAAGGTATTTTTCGTCGTTGTCTCGCTTCAATTTTTCAAAAGTTCCCGAGAAATAGACACTGTACTATCCGATAACACCGTTTTTGTAACCAGCAAAAATGGTTGACGTGATTTGCGAGGCGTCGGTCAGCCGACCGTCTGACATTAGCACGTCAGCCTACGTTAGAAAGACTGACGTTCTTGCAGCGTGCCAACGTCACTCCTGTCTATTACGGCATCTAGGCAGCTATAGACAAAAAAAAAAGTATTTTTATTGCAGATCTACATGAATCACACAAATTACCTATTTTGAAACAAAAACGGAGAATTTCGCCGAAAGGTGACAAGTTTGCACCCCTGTATGTAGATAAGCTTTGACCTCAAATGGCTTCAAAGCTTTTAAATAAGTAAACTTTTTTTTAAACGATAAGACTGGATTAATGAATGACAGGACAGAATCTGCTCACGAGAGCAAAAAGCCAAAAAAGGTTTATAAGAAACAATCGGGCCTCAGCACGTCTGACATCGTCGACAACGACTTTCCATTTGATCAGCGAAGCAGCCGCTGATCAAATGGAAAGCGGTCATCTCCGTCTGTATTCTGCAGTGGATCCATTCGTCTCATCCGCTTCCGGTTGTGCACGTGAGATGTGCCAACTCGCACAGCCTGTGCAGAGTCAGCATTGACCCTCAGCTTTGGGTTATCGGTGTTTGTTCACGTCTGCGATCGGGAGCCTCTTTCCATGGTGAACAAGAGAGGAACAGCGAGCAAAAGGACTCCTGTCAACTTCAACGAAACTCTTGAATGTAAAAAAAACCCCGAAACATTTCCACGTCCAGTTTTGTTATTTTATTCAAAATGTGCTGACCTGTTATATCTGTCAGTCGTTGTGTTTGCTAAATGCATAAATGTGCTCTTTGTTGTTTGTGGCCGGTTACGAGGGCTTTTTAATCTAATCAAATTCTCCTCAAGGTGAGTTTTACAGATTAGAGATTAATCCTCTTACAGAACCGTCTGATTGGAAGAATTACTACGGTTATTAAAGATGATAAATTATTAGTAGGGATAAGGGATAAGGTTTTCTCAGGTGAGGGTGAATTAATACCAGGGGATGTTTTTCTTCCGAACACAAGGCACCGCAGACTGAATCGACTCTGTGCTTACCTTTCACAATAAAAGCCCTAGTTTTTGGAAATACCCAATAAAGTAGCTTACGATATCTCAGGCTGTACAACAGTTTAGCTCAGGTGTTCCGGGTCAATAGGATCCTGATACTTGGTCGTCTACCTGCACAAATCTGTTAAAAAAAACTTTATTGACAGAAGTTCCAAGAATCTCCTCCTGTGGTACACTTACTTTTGAAGGGAGTAAAAGAGCGGCGCGATGACCAGCAGCACCAGCAGCAGGACGAGGGCGCTGACCAGCCCGGAGACCTGGGTCTGGCACCCCGTGGACTCCTTGACGAGCGTCTTGGTCAGCGCGGCGCTGCTGGTGAAGCAGCGGAAGAACGACGGCAGGATGTTGCAGAGGCCGATGGCGTACATCTCCTGGTTGGCGTCCACCGCGTAGCCGTGCTTCTTGGCGAACATCTCCGACAGCGAGACGGTGATGGCGAACCCGACAATGGCGATGGAGAAGGCGTCGACGGCCACGTTGGGGATCAGGGCCCACATCGGCAGCTGCGGGGGGAGGAAGCCCGTGGGGATGTCGCCGGACACGTCCGACCCAAAGTCCGTGTTGAAGTGTCCAAAGTGAGAAGCCAGCGTTGCGATGATCACCACAAACAGCTCGAAGGGAATTGGAGCCTGGGAAAAGCATAAAAATAAACCATAAAAATGTGAAACATCTCGCTCTTTCATCGCTTCCGACACAAGAAGCAGATGCAACCAGAGAACAGATCCAACGGTGACCGTTCCTCGGTTTACCTTTAGCTTGGCTTTGAAGCGATTGTTGAGCTCCTTGACGGGAATCAGCACCAGCAAACACACCAAGCTGGTCACCAGGTCGCACACGTTGGTGTTTCCCAGGTTGACGAGCAAGCTGCGCCAAGTCTTGAACAGGACGAACCAGCCCTGAGGCCTGGGGATCTTTAGGCCCAGAAGGTATTTGAACTGGGAGGTGAAGATGGTCAGGGAGGCTCCGGTGGCGAAGCCACTGAGGAGGGAGTCCGAGAGGTAGACCGAGACAAAGCCCACCTGGAAGACGCCCATCAGCACCTGAGGGAAAGAGGCAGGCGGGTGTGTGGTTTAGCGATGCCGGCCATAGAGAGGCGATGCCTTTGTGTACTCACCTGGTACACCCCGGCAGTGAAGGTAACCGTGGCTCCCACTGTGATGGCGTAGCAGCTCTTGTCACATCCCGCCGCGGCGGTGCCGTTGCCCAAACCGGCCAGCAGGAGGGCGCTGTCGTTACCGCCGATGCCGTCGCCGCCTTCCGTGATGTATCCCGCCAGAGCCAGTTCCCGGTCCACAACCTGACCCACAAGCAGGCAGAGCACCCCGAAAACCCCGGCCGAGATGTGTCGGGAGGTGCCGAAGATTGCATAGATGATCGAGGTGAAGAAAGACGTGTACAGACCATATATGGGGTCCTGGCTGGCCAACAGGGAGTAGGCGATGGACTGAGGGACCAATAGGATCCCCACGATCAACCCGGACATGGCGTCGCCCAGCAGCCACTCCCTGAGCTGGTAGCGGGGCAGCCATTTCAGGATGGGGACGAAGCCCAGTATTTGGGACTTAGCTTTCTGCGAGGTGCACGAGCAGTGTTTCCTCAGGCGGGTCGAGGCGGCGGACCGCCAGCCTCGGGCCGGTTCTTTCTCCACCCTCTCCAGGACGAGAGGCCGCTGCTCCGTCTCGGCCGCGTCATCGCTGCCGGGAGCCATGACGCCGTCCTAACCGGAGTTATGAAATTCTAAAAAAGGACAACAAAGGTGTGTCAACGCATCTACTCTAGGCATTCAAATATTGGACGAAGGACATTTCGGAAGCCGTGAGGAGGAGGAAGAGGAGGAAGAGGAGGAGGAGGAGGTGAAGGGCGATTACTCCCATAACTGGTCACAGTGTTTTGGGCAAACTGCAAATGTCTGACAAAAACAGACAAACATATTTCCTGCTATTGGCTCATAATACAAACGTGACACTTCCCCTTATTATTAGTGACTCAGACAGAAAGAGCCACCGTTAATGATACACCGACAACCCTGTATGTAGTCAGACAAACTGACTGGATTTACCTTTATACTTCATGAATAAGTGTCTCTTAAATACACCTCTCTTAATAATGTGTAGCGCTCACTGGAATCCCCCCAGAGAACGAACGTGTCATTATACGTTACATTATGTGTCACCTGTAATGTAATGTAATTATCATCATGATTAATACATCGTCAAGTCTCCATAAACGTCGCTGCAGGCTTAAAACATTAACAGCATTACAGCGTTGTTTCCATGACAGAAGTTGTGCGTGATGGTTATTCACCAGTGACGTTGCTGTGAGGAGACACTTTAAAGTTGTATTTAAGTTGCTCGGCCATAATTAGCATTAAGTCCGGTGATGAATGGGACTCATTGTAAATAAGTTGCCAACGTGGACGCCGAGTGAAACGCTGTAGCCCCCTCAAGTAAATATGCATGACGCCGCGCAACAGGTATCGTAACAACAACAACAACAACAACAACAACACAAACAAACTAACCAAGCAACATGTTGTTTACTGTGTACACTAACCGACCTTACTCTGCTCCGTCGCCGCTTCACCGAGTTACGTCGGCGTCGCGCTCACTTCTGATCGCCGGCTGCCACTCGTAAATCCGTGCGTGATGACGTATGCGGGAAGTGCGTTCCGCGTCACGTGAACCCGCGCCGAGACCCACGAGATCGTCCGCGCGCGGTAAAAAAAAATGGTTCACTTCGAAGCAAACCTCGATTTAATGAATCCAAATCTAAACCGTTGAACACTAAAAATAAGCACATCGTGTTTTAGAAACACAGAGAGCAATAAATAGGAAGCGGTTCTCCCACCACGTCTTCTCTGATTAGCTAATTCCTCGTTTTGGTGTTGGGGTTTCCTGACGGAGTGAGAGCTCCTTCTTGTTAGCAGCTCTCTGAAGGCCTCGCAGACTCACAAAGGTGTTGCTCTGCTCGCTCGCTGCTGTTCCTTTTTCGACCGCAAGGGGGCGGAACCAGTCACCAGCTAATTGGTTAGAAATTCTGTCTTTGGATTGGCTGGAGTTCTGCGTTCACAAAACTGCTGTAACCGCAAATGACAACCAGCTACAGCACTAATTTACCATCATTACGACATTAATTAAGACCAATGCGCCAATCCTTCCAAGGACAAGGTGTATTTTGATGGCCAAGTTGAATTAATATTGCTAATATGCGCAGTTATAGAGTAGATGAGAGAAAGAGAAAAAGAAGGGATTAGAAAAGATCAGGTTATGAGTTCTTCAGATACACTGTGGATACGATCTAAATGTTTATGTTAACTTTCACAGCCAAACATATAATAAATTAAAATCAACATTTCATCCAAAAGGTCCAAACTCGTCTTTCCTGCTTTATGTGGTCCTTCACTGTGGTGTAAACAACTTATGAGTGTCGCTTTCATGATGAGCTGTTTTTTTTTTGCATAGATAAGAGTAGCAATGATGTTGCATGATTCTTTTAATTCAAAATAATTTGCATTCAGACTCTCCCTTTTATGCTTCTTCTCCTCCAGTTTATAAACTGTATGACGTATCGCCTACACATCAATATGTATATATTCATTTATTATTATAAGCATATATATATGGCCAATAAATGAATGCTTCAGTTCCACATGCGAGATATTCAATGAGAACTCATTCTCATTGGTGCTGTCGGTGTCTTGTAGTGAGAGGGAAACGAACCCCCGGATGTGTCATCAAACACAACGCGGCGTGGTAATCGCAGCGTTGTAATTGGATGCAGGCTTACTTCCACACATGACCATTTAAAACCGTCCCAGTAATCCCCTTTCTTTACTTGGTTTGCAGGACAGAGGGATTACACACTTTGCTGGAGGCCACACAAGGACTTTTAACAGGTAGGAACGTTTACGTTTGTTAGAATAGTTAGACGGTTGTGTGCTTTGGACGGCCCCTGACCCGAACCCAGCGGGGGTCTTCACGTCAGAGGCTGCCTGCCGTCCTCCTGCCCGCGGTCAACATTCACGTACATCCTCTTCTTCACGGCCCCGGTGGCTCTAAACTTTTAAATCATTGCCCCGAAAGTGTGAAGAGGAATGTGCAACTGTTGACGGTTGCCCCTGATTGTTGCAGCTCAAGCACTGTGTCCTCTGGCCCGTCCCTGAGGGATGAACGAGTCGGGCTGAGGAAGGTTTTCTAAGTGGCGGCCGGGAGGAAAAGCCGGTTGGATCCTCTAAAATGCTGAGGGAACGCGCTTCAAGAAAGCACAAAATCAGGCGTTTTTACAAGCTGCACGTCGTATGGCATCCTGTGTCCTCAGAGCCCCTCAGGAAAAAACTCAATGTAACGCTTCCTTCGATATCTCCTTACCCAAAGGTTACACTGGACCATCTTTTACTAGAGTAAAAGAGATGATGCTGCGTCATGTTTTTCTAAATTGTTGTTCTCTTGTTGTTTTTTTCATTGGGGGTCGAGGAAAGGTTCTAAGTAAAAACGTGTCCTGTGTCACCTCACATTTACACCCCAAATGAAACCAATTCAGTCATGAACGCTGGAATGTCTTGGAGAAAAATCTACATATTTTCAATTTTTGGGAATTTCACTCAAATACATTTTTGTGAATATTTTGAGTGAACAACCAAGAGGATTAATGGCACATTTTCCCCAAAGCCTGTAAGCGGGCCGGCATTTGTGAAGGGCTTAAATTCTGCTACGTCTGCTTGTTGGAGGGATGACTTGCAGGGACAGAATTATCCTGCAGCCCGTTAGCATCTTTTGCTCGTGTTGTGGTTTCAAGCTCTCAGAGCTCTTATCCACCAGCATGCGACCAACGAAATCCCCACTGCGCAGAAAGCAGAGGGCCGAGTCGGTGAGGTGTTTACAGGTGTCAGAAGCCACGTGTCACATGGGTGGTTTGAGGCCGATGCTGAGAGGGGAGCGACCATTAGACGGGCTGTAGTTTGGTCCCTTGTTGAATGAAGGTCGGGGGTTCTGGCGGTCCCCCATTCCCTTATTCCTACCTGTTCCCACTCACCAGCAGCCATGGTGGACGCAGCGGCAGCGGAGCAGTTCCTGGACGCCAACCCGCAGTTCGCCAAGCAGTACTACGACGCCAACTTCCGGCCCAAGGTGGTCTCGGACCTGCTGGACGGCAACCGGAAGGCGGCGATGGACATCAGCGCGTTCCACGACCTGACGGCGGTGGAGGAGAGCGAGGTCCTCTTCGACCTGATGCGGGACATCCAGGACAACCTTCAGATGGAGAAGTCCGTCTTCAACCTCATGAAGCACCTCAGCTTCATGATGAGGGCCGACCGCATGAGCCTCTTCATGTACCGGCAGAGGAACGGGGTGGCCGAGCTGGCCACCAGGTGACCGGGGAATTCTTTAACAACTCAAATAGTGTAATAATACTCATAGTGTTGTACATGTGTTTGACAGTAAGTCTCAATATGTTTGGTTGGAAAATATCATGGAAAGGAACGTCAAAAAGATATTAGGCCCAAAAATGTTTTGAACAAAAGGTTGAGAGAAATTAAAGGGTTGAAATAAAACATTTAGGTCGATAAATGATTGACATGTTAGATAAATCACTATTCAAATGTTTTAATTTTCTGTTTTTTTTAAATGATTACATAAATATTTTTCAATATGATGACAGAGTTGATTGAAGACCTCAATAGAAAGAACTGCGTGTTATAATGGTATATAATAGTAATAATAATTATTATAATAATAATAGTATAATAGACATTTTCTACTTTGCAAAAGTTTTAATGACACTTTCTCACAAACTGAATGATCTTTGGATATTTGCAAAATCTCATCATATGACAAACTGCACACATGTTCACAATTGGTTTGCAGTAACAGCTCAGCTCGGGGCGCTAAAAATAGAACATGATAAAAGTTTATTTTTTGGAGTTGTAAACTCTGGTCCGATGTAATGCGCTGATGTCCCCTCCCCCAGGTTATTTAACGTCAACAAGGATTCCCAGTTTGATGACTGCCTGGTGCCGCCTGACAGCGAGATCGTGTACCCGCTGGACATGGGCATCGTGGGCCACGTGGCCTCCACCAAGAAGATGGTCAACATCGCCGATGTGTCCGAGGTAACAAACCAAACAAATGGTTCCTTGCTCAGTAAAGGTTCACTTTGACCACCAGGTGGCGCCTCGAGACCGCCTCCGCCCCCCAAGACTAATTCCCTCCAGCCAGAGCCAGCTCCATCTCATTAGAGACAGTACCTGTGAGTGGCTGCTGAGTTTATTCCCAGGTACACTTCAGGTTTACCTGGCGGCTCGCGCACTCGTCCGCCCCCACCGTCCCGCACCGACTGCTATTCTGTTATTTACACTTAATAAGGCAGCACCCCCCCCTATGATTGATGGATTACAGGTCGTCCCCTGCACGCCCCCCCTCCGTCCGCCACACACAGACGCATGAAATGACACAATGCGAAATGTGACAACTGGAACGACACAGAAAGCCCCCGAGTGTCTGAGAGGAGCAGCTAATGGTTGCACAGAGCTGGGCCCGATCCAGTCCACCGGCCCTCGTAGGTAGAGAGGCTGAGGGATTATGCGTCACTGGGATTACGGAGTGAGTAACAGCTGGCCTCATTCCTCCCCCGCCTTCCATCCCCGCCTCCCCCTTCAGAGTCCGTTTGATAATCACGCATTCTGTACAAACTAACAACTCTGACCGTTGTGTGAGAAGCGGTAACTCGAGGGGTGAAGGTGTGCGGAGCAAGGTGGGGTTGGGTGGGAGGGGGGGGGGGGCAGACGAAGGCCCGTTAATCTGTCCTGAATTAGAGCGATCCCAGATTACTCTCAGAGGTCGAGCAGACTGAGCCATTTTTACCGACTCAGCACTACACCTTTAATCTATTCTGCTGCCCATTATTGTATATTTGGGTTTGGTGGAGCAGAGGAGGGAGAGGGTGGGAGGGGGGTGGACGGGGGGAATGGTAGTGATTTCTCTTTTTGGGGGGAATCCACGTAACAATACAAGGTTTTAATGGCATGTTTTAAATTGAGATGCTGCAGCTGAACAGGGTAGAAAAACTAACTAATAGAGATCAGGTTAAAAGATGAATGGATGAATATCTACAAATGACCACTTACATCACACCGTTCCCGTTAACGAACTCTGCCTTCTGGCTCGTAACATGCAGGACCGTCCTCACTGGAGTCGTTCTGTACTGTACAATGATTTGTTGTTCACTCTAAACCTGTGTTTTCTTTTATTTAATATCTATTTCAAGGTCAACGTTGTAGTATTTGGAGGCATCTAGTGGCCGGATGCAGATTGCGGCCACCTGAAATAGGAGGTGAAAGTACCGGCTCATTCTCAAGTAACAACGACACAGAGTGTTATAGGGGGTCATAGATAAACTAAAACATTTGGGCCACTAGATCCGTACACACGTATGGATTTAACGAATAGCAAATAGCCTCAATAAACGTTGCAGGTCTGATGAGGGACTGGAGGGTTTTTGGAATACGCGGCATCTGTGTCACCTACATGGAGTTTTTTTTCAACCGTGCAGCAATAGTAAAACAATAAAAGATCCACAAACACGACGAAACAAATATTCTATTTTTTCTTGTTTTTCCACATCAAAATACAGATTGTGTTTAGATGAAACTTCTAAAGTATAGATCTGACGTGGAAAGGTCGAGGCAAAGCTTCAGCTGAGGATAACAAGCAGGATGAAGACATCTCCGGGCTTTGAGGGGTGAAAGGTCACCCAATAACAAGCTGTCAAACTGCTGGAACAGGTTTATTTGTAAGCTCTGGAAGGCTGCAGTTGAATCAGCTTCTGCGTAATGCAGATCCAGGATCAGCGTTTGTCGCTCTCGTAATGATTTTATTTCCTGGGATCTAAGGGATCGAACCCGAAGGGCGGGTTCGATCCCTTCGTAGAGGGAAGCAGAAAAGCGTAGACGCCGATAAAAATGGAATGATGGTTTACTAATTGAGCTCAAAGCGGAGGATGAAGTGAAAGGATGGAAAATAAAAAAGACCGACACTGGACAGATCTGCAAATTTGAGGAGTAGCCTAGAGGAAATTTGGTAATTGAGTTATTGGTCGATATTAGCACATTGCAGATGTATCAATACAGTCGTGATGTCAGCTGATAAACCGAAGTGCAGAAAACAACACGTTTAGTGTTTGAAAGACCTTTTCCAACTTTCTGCAGTCTGTCCACCAAACCCCCTCTACGTTTCCCCCCCGCAGAGAGTCCTCAGGTGGTGGACAATGGAAAGCTTCGCAGCGTTTATGGATGGAAGTGATGTTCATTAACGCTTGGAAGCCTGGAAGGATGTGGGGGGGCAACATCAGGCACTGAGATTCAATCAAACTCTCTCTCTCTCTCTCTCTCTCTGCACAGAGCGCTCACTACAGCGAATTTGTGGACGAGCTGACGGAGTACAAGACCAAGAGTGTCCTCGCCATCCCCATCATGAACGGTAAGGACATGGTGGCCGTGATGATGGCGCTCAACAAGCTGGACGGGCCGCGCTTCACCGCCAAGGATGAGGAGGTAACATCGCTCTTCAATGAGGTTTAGAGCTTCGTACACTTCACAGAGTGCCTCGAAACCAGAAACAAGTGTGAAAATAAGGTTCAAAACAACGATACTTCACAATAATCCACGTTTTGATTCATACGCAGCACCCTGCTATATATATACATATATACATATATATATATATGAATTGTAACAGGGAATATTAGATCATAACTGACTCCTGAGCACTGAACTGCCATAACTTTTATTCATGTTTCTATATCAATTCTGTCACAAATGTGCATTCGATGTATTAATGGATTAATTTTAAAGAAACAGACAACTTTTCCTCCTGCGTCTACAGACTTTATTATTGTATTTAGTGTATATTTTTGGCAGCTATTGGAGCTAGCACTAGCTACTTGCTTTGAAAAAGAGTTGCAGACTAAGTCTTATGTGCAGATGGTTTCATTATTCGTTGCTACATTGCTAAAAGGCTTAAAAATGCCCAAGAAATGACTCCGTGGTGTAACTTTACACTAATATGTGTTGTCAGGACGTGGCAGTTTGACAAATATAACAATTCACCTTTTTCACCATTCGAAAGGCGATCACACGCGTTTGTCAGAATTGAGTCCGTGCCGTTTTCTTCCAGACCCTCAACAAGTACCTCAACTTTGGCAACCTGATCCTGAGGGTTTTCCACCTGAGCTACCTGCACAACTGCGAGACCAGGAAGGGGCAGGTGAGCCTGCACGGCAATGCGCTCGGGGAGGTCCCAGGTGGGGGAGGGGCGCGTCCCCGCTCACCAGACGCCGCTGTGTGTCGTCCAGGTGCTGCTGTGGTCGGCCAGCAAGGTGTTCGAGGAGCTGACGGACATAGAGAGGCAGTTCCACAAGGCCCTGTACACGGTGCGAGCTTTCCTCAACTGTGACCGCTACTCCGTGGGGCTGCTGGACATGACCAAGACCAAGGTGGGTTACCGTGGATACGCACGCAAGGGTCATGGATGCGAGGAGACCAAGCAACCAATCGACGATCGATTTAGATCATCAGGTTTCCTTTTCAATTTTAGGGAAGAGGTCACCTATTTATTACATGCTCACGTCTGTCTTTAGAGAACGCATCGACTACAGTCCGACATGCGTTTGCCACATTTACACATGCACACACATGCACACACGTGTGCGTGCAGAAGGTCAAATGAGTGAAGCTTAAATGAAGCTTGATCCGAGTGCAATAATCCACATTTAGTTGCTTTTGGTCTTAAGAAGCTTGACCGTGCTTCTTCACTCAGACTTCGCATTAAGCCAGAGTTTCCTCGTGGAAAAAAAAAAAAAGAAGAACTGCACATAGTGACGGCAAACATAAGCACATTTGAAACCACGTGCATCCGGTGCTCGTGAACAACCTCCCGCTGTGTTTGTCCCACTCTCATCCCGGGCTTAGTAGGGATGAGATCTGCTTCCGTTTGTTCCTCGTCTTCGCAGAGCCTCCTCTGGTGGATCTGTTCCTAACCTGCACCAGTCCCTCGGCGTGTACCCCGCTCGCCGGCCCGTTGTCATAAATACTACCTATCGGTTGTGGCTGCGTCGCCTAATCACAAGCAGCTGCCGGTTGACTCCGAACACCTGCCATCCGAGGACAAACACGTGTTGTCCGCCCGCACAGATGGCCGTCTGCTCACAACGCAGGAACCCAACAAAACCAGGAGGTCCGCTCCGAGGCCCCCCCGGTCCATGAAAAGGGTTACACGCGAGCCCCAGAGGCCGACGTGGAGATGGCTCATTCAGGCCGAATGTTGAATGATGAGCCTCCAACTAACAGGAAGTGCATCTAAATGATGAAAGCACCGCTATGACGCCCTCTTACATCTTCTCTCTCTCTCTGCGCAGGAGTTCTTTGACCTGTGGCCAGTCCTCATGGGAGAAGTTCCACCGTATGATGGACCCAAAACTCCCGATGGAAGGGTGAGGAAATGTTCACCTCTGTTTGTGCTCATGCAGGACCAGTGCAGGAAGTGGGCGTATTCGTCATGATGGTAGCAATCTGTCAATCCCAGTAGGCCCCGCCCCAAAGCATTCCCTGCTTTGTGGTCTATTCGACTCTCAACGGACCACAGTTTACTAAGCTTCAGTCAAAATCAACAATCAACAATGACGATATTCATCTGCTTAGTAACACCTTCATGTACATCCGTGTAGTTGAGAGTTAAGTGTTTGTCCTTGAGCTTGGAAGTTGGAAGCTTAAAGTCCACTTACTAGTTTTATTTATTTTAGGTGATTGAGTTGTTGTCTATTTATAAAGTAACTCGGTCTACTTTTTAAAAATGCATGCAACATAAGCAGTGATGATCAATGTTGGGACTAAACTGCGTTTTCACTTGAATCGTCTCTAATCGTGACGTTTGTCACCTCAAGGAAATTATCTTCTACAAACTGATCGACTACATCCTTCACGGAAAAGAGGACATCAAAGTCATTCCGTAAGTGTCCGCTCACGTGCACGTGGACGCGCGTGATCGACTCGCCCGGCGTGAATGAAAAATTGCGGATTTAAACGGTTTCACCCCGACTGAGTCTTAATTCTTATCAACCGTGAACAGGACAGTAGTTCACGCGGTTGCTTTGCTTTGCGGTTAAAGGTGATTGTCGTCCTCCTCAGGAACCCTCCGGCGGATCACTGGGTCCTGGTCAGCGGCCTCCCGACCTACGTGGCAGAGACGGGGCTGGTCAGTCTCCAGAGCGCCAACGCGCCTCACAACGTTCCAAATGGAAATGGGCGAAAATCCACTTTGTCGTGAACTAAACTTTAAGCGATCTCTCAGGCAGAGCTGTGCGACATGTTGGGTGTTCTTCTTCAATCCTCCGCATGTGAAAATGTTCTCCGAGGTTCCTGCAGGTCACATTCAGTTAGCGGCTACGCACTCAAATGCCCACAGGTTCCTATTGAAGTACTGCGTACTCTCCCTGACGTGTATATCACATGTTGCGATTATCAGTGTGCTCTTTGACACCTTTTCATATCCGGATTATCCATAAAATGTCAACAATGATTATAAACGATTTATAGAAATGACTCTTGGAGGAAGTTATTGGTTTATACAGATGTTCATGTTGACTAAAGCGTCCTTTATTCAGAAGAATGAGACTTTGGTGTATCAACGGACGTTATAGGTTCAGGATTGTGTTTATTATACACATTTAGTCCAGTTCATAGCTTTGCGATCGCTCATCTTTACCTCATCAGCCCGTTGTGAGTGCGAGGACGACTTACAGGGATAAAAAAAATCCACAAAATCCAGCTTTATTTGAGCGATTTAACTGTGCCGTTAGATCGGCGAGCAGACCGACTGCCCTTTCCTCTCCGCGTGAACCCCGCGTCCTTTTTTTAAAAAACATCTTAATTTGAAAATGGCTCTTCTGGCGGGGCGGCAGGGGGTCGGAGGAGCAGGGCGCCACTAGGCCTCATTACACAGCCGCCAGCGCGGAAAACGAAAAGGGTTCGGCTGCCTCGACGTACAAGATGTAATTCCTCTTTTTAATCACGCCGCTACCTGCCCAAACTCCCTGGTCCATCTGTCCCTCCCTCTCATCACTGTCATCTCCTTTTCTCCGTAGATTTGTAACATAATGAATGCCGGTCAGGATGATTTTTTCAAGTTCCAGGTAAGAAAGCTGAAAGCTGCCTTTTTTGTACAATGTTACTGATGAATAACTTGGTGAGACACTAATACTGAGTTTCCATCATGTCTGAATGCTCTTCGTGTTTAATATTAATGATCACGGGATAAAGTACCTCAAAGGTTTCCTTCTAGGAGGAACGTTAAAGCAGAACTTCATCTCAAAGCGTGGTGGCTTCAGCTCTCTGACACATTTTGCCGATATGTCTCCGTCCTCTGTGGTCTGAGGGTCATTTATCGGAGCAGCTCGGCAGACTTGTTGCTTCAACAAAAGGCCACGTGACCACAACTCAAGCATCTGGACCTGGAAGGGAATTTCTTGTAAATTTGGCCAATTCAGTAGAAAACAACTTATTGCTAAAGTGTTTTTATTGCAAATTGACACACGTTCCCCCCTTTTTTCTATTTTTAACCTCGAATGGATGCAATACGGCGTCGTAAATACATTTTTACACATTTCAATTAATATGCATGCAAATGAAAATCAGCTGTTACCCGTTTACATTCATTCACTTGGCAGACACTGTTTATTGTGACATGTATTAATCCCAGCATCACAGCCACTTCTTCATGTGCATTAGTTGTTGCTGCCAGAACCCTCATTATGATTGATCAGATTTATATGTAAAGTGATAAATGACTTGTGCACTAAGAACATGAGCCCTTTGGTGATGGGAATGAAGCCGACTAGAGGGTACACACGGCGGACCCCGATGAAGCACCAGGGAGCGATTCGGCCTCACGGCTCTCTCTGAATGTGTCCCCCATGCTCTGCTGTCGTTAGTGACAATCACTTTTCTCGGGGCGGTGTTTATCTTTATTATGCTCTCAGTGCGCCATGGATTCCGCACTGTTGATAACAACGAACGTAAAAACAACCAAGCAACCAAAAAGAGGTTTATTTATTCCTAGTTGCTGCTCTGTGTTGGTCTCTCTTCTGCTTCTCCCAAATCCCAAATACACAAACTGTACACTGGAATACAAGTCAGAGCAGCGTCACCATTTAAAACCATTGGACGTCAAACCACCTCTTTGGTTCAGTTAATAACGGACGCCTTTGTGTTATTTAGTTCCCTTCCCGCTGCGAACA